CCTCCCCCCTCCACCTGGTCTGCAGACCAGGGGGACGTGGGGGGGGGGGGCAAAGCAGAGCCAAGCCTCGGAGCGCATGGGCAGCGGACAGCCCTGTCTGCTGCCCACGTGTTCCGCCGCTTTGCTTCCTCTCCCTGGTCTGCTGGAGACCAGGGAGAGGAACCCCGTTCGTAACTGCGGATCCGACGTAAGTCGGATCCACGTAACTCAGGGACTGCCTGTATACTACCTGCATTGGAGAAATTTATTATTTATATTGTTTGGTTATCAATGTAATTTGTAGTTTTATTTTCTGTATTTGTTGCCAATTCCTTCATAAGTACTCCTGTTTGAATTGGGAGGTAGGCACCTTATTTCTGTAGATCCCTTTTTACAATCCCAACCTTTAGAGTTTGTCAGGCACTGTTATCCTCCGAAAAGTGCTGCATAACTGCAAATTGAAGAACATTCATCTGAAGAAGTGGGTTGTACCCATGAAAGCTCATGATACTATCTACATATTTTATTAGTCTGTAAGGTGCTGCTAGACTATTCGGGTTTTTTTTTTTGAAGGTTTTGCAAACTCTTCGTCATTGTTAAGTGGGAATTGACAAAATAAAATATATGTTGTGAAGCAACATTTTACGTCAGTCCTGTTGCATGGTAGTATTAGATCAGTGGTTCCCAACCTCCTGGCATGACCTGGCAGCCAACAGTTCACAGTGGTTAGGAACCGCCCCCGGCTGAGAGTGAGCTGAGAGAGGGGCTTTTCCTGGCACAGCACAGCCTCCTTGCACATGGTAAGCAGAGGCCAGCGAGGAGTAGTTTCCACACACCTTCTTCTGTGATGCACCAGCACCAAGGTCAACAAGACCCAGAGATGCTAGGGAGCATTAATGGAGACTCATTAACCTCTGGCACCCCAGTGAGGGGCTGGCAGCTCACACTGTGCAGGGCAGCAGCTGTCCAGAGGCGCAGTCAGGCCCTCCCTCCCCCCAGTAGACGCTAAAGCAGAGGATTGGAGACCTTCCTCTTGTGCAGGTCTGTATGCGAGGGGGGAAGGGGGGAAGGGTGCAGATACATCTCCCTAAATTCCCCCAAGTAAATGTGCTCCAGCCAGCTGGGGCAAGGGTACAGCTGATTTCTTCGTCTGCCCTACCACCCCAGGAATGAGGCTGGATTCCACTTCTCGGGTTCAGTTTCCCCGGGGTCCTAGAGGGACTCCACACCAGTGCCTTGTGGAGGGTGCTTACTAGCACCCAGACTGTGGGTCGGGTTCCGTGGGAGGCAATAGCTCTGGCTGGGGGAGTTTACCCTCCCTCCCTGCTGTGTGTGCCACAATGAGAAGCTCTATGACAGAAGCACTCCCAGCCCAGCCCACCACTAAGAGGCTGCCTGCTTGGGAAAGGGTCTGGCCATTTGTGCACACAAAAAGCTCTCTTTCTGGGGGAAGGGTGCTGCTGTTCACAGCATAAGGCAGAGCTACAAATATAATCATCTGGCTCTTACAGAGTACTTTTCACAAGCAGAAAGTACAAAAGCTGCACACTCCAGAGCTGGGGTTTTGGGAGCTATCCAGCCACAGAACAAAAGGCCTAGGTCATGACCATGAACAAAGTTTACATAGGTGTTAATGGCCCAAGATAAGAAAGAAAGGAGTCTTTTAACAGAATTATTTTTGTGTTGTAGATATCTGCAAACATTGAACATGTATTGCGTGCATACAGATGTGATGTAAAATAACACGTGACCTCTTAAAATTAATTACAATAATGAATATGCAAATAAAATATTACCAGTTCACCAAAGGGTTATGAATGTGTTTGCCAGTCCATGGTATAAAAAAGGTTGGGAACCACTGTACTAGATTGACTTATATGCATTTCTTTGTCATTTGGTTGATATACAAAATAAGTGTAACTTCCATACATACTGAAGGGATTGGAAGGGAAGTGAAACAGAAAAAGCAACTAAGAGATGGATGTAAGTTTTAGTGGGGGAGGTCTAGGTTGGATATTAGAAAAACTGTTTTACTCAGAGGGTGGTGAAGCACTAGGATGGATTATCTATGGTGGTGTAAGAATCTTCATCCCTAGAAGGTTTATAGTCTTGGCTTGAAGAAGTCCTGGCTGAGATGGGCTTGGTCTTTCTTTGAGTAGGGGGTTGAATTCCATCACTCCCTGAGGTATCTTCCGCCCTGTGATTCTATGTAACATAAGAGAGACTGTTTTACCACATGGCTATGTCTACACTGGCCACAATTTCCAGAAAAGGGATGCAAATCAGGTAAGTCAGGATAGGGAAATCCGCGGGGGATTTAAATATCCCCCGTGGATTTAAATAAACATGTCCGCCGCTTTTTTTCCGGCTTGGGGAAAAGCCAGAATAAAAGAGTCTAGACTGGCGCGATCCTCCGGAATAAAGCCCTTTTCCGGAGGATCTCTTATTCCTACTTGAAAGGAATAAATCCCCCACGGATTTCCCTATCCTGACTTACCTGATTTACATCCCTTGTCTTGTAATAGGCAATGTAATTTCATAAAATCATAAGGTTGAGAGAGACCTCAGGAGGTCATCAAGTCCAACCCCCTGCTAAAAGCAGGACCAATCTCAACTAAATCATCCCAGCCACGCTTTGTCAAGATGGGACTTTAAAACATCTAGGGATGGAGATTCTACCACCTCCCTCGGTAATCAATTCCAGTGCTTCACCACACTCTTAGTGAAATAGTTTTTCCTAATATCTAACCTAGACCTCCCCAGTGCAGCTTGAGGCCATTGTTCCTCGTTGTGTCATCTACCACCACTGAGAACAGCCTCTCTCCATTCTTTTTGGAACCTCCCTTTGGGTAGCTGAATGCTGCTATCAACTCCCCCCCTCGTTCTTCTGTAGACTAAATAAGCCCAAATCCCTCAGCCTCTCCTCATAAGTCATGTGCTCTAGCTCCCTAATTATTTTCGTTGCCCTCTGCTGGACTTTCTCCAGTGCATCCACGTCCATTCTGTAATGGGAGGCCCAGAATTAGACACAGTACTCCAGATGTGGCCTCACCAATGCTGAACAAAGGGTAATAATCACTTCCCTAGATTTGCTGGCAATGATGCTACTAATGTACCACAATATGCCATTAGCTTTCTCAACTACAAGGGCACACTAATTCATATCCAGCTTTATAATCAATGTAAATTTTGGCTTTTGGGTTTTAGGCATAGGGGAATACATCCATAACTACATTTTTCTTTTCCATGGAGAAATCCTTTTCTAAACAAGTCGTGGAAAAACATTTAATGTGCTTTGCTCTTGAAATTACAAAGGGAGCACTGAGGGCATCACTTGTTATTGAAAAGAGTTGGGAAATGTATTGGACTTCAAAATCAGCAGCTCCAGAATGGGATGATTAATTTAAGACACACTGTAAAAGGACCGTGCTCAGATTAGTTAGGAGCAATATAAAGCATGTTGGATTCAAAATAACATGATTTTTTTTCTTTAAGGAATACCAAAAACTTTATTTAAAAATTACAAATTGTATTAATCCATCAAGATGTAAAATGTTAAGTGGCTAATTATGAAATTCCTTTCTGGAAACCTTTTGAAAAAAGGGATGTATTAGAAGCACTATCAGTATGCTTTAATACGTTTCAAAATATGTATGTATGTATGTATGTATTTGTACTCTAGTACATACAATAATTTCATGCTAATAACGGATGTGTTTTATTATGTTGAATTATACCAGTCTTTTACTACATTTGAATGCCAGTCACTAAAAACATTTCTTGCCATTCAGAGTCTGAAAATGAAGGAGGACCGGAAAAGCCCAGAGTCCTATGGGCACTATACTTCAACATGAGAGATTCTTCGGGCATCGACAAAAATTCATATGACAGTTTACCCTCAAACGTCTATGTCTGTTCTGGGCCAGATTGTGAACTGGGAAGTGACTATGCTGTCAAACAGGTAAGGGAACTTTTCAACTTTGTGGTTGAAGAGCTTTTAGTTTATAGGCCCCTGAAATACTGCTTTCTCACCTGGCCCCTTTTTGCCTGCTTTCCCTATTACTTTGAGCAGAGGAAAAATTAGTCCAGCCCCTGCTTCACCCTTTATTGGTGCCTCTAAGGTGTCTTCATTGCTGTTCCCTTTTATCATCCACTCTAGAAAGAGAGGTTGGCAGTTTATACCTATATCCTGCAGTCATTACTATGATATGGGTGCCTTCAGTGCTGACACACACTAACACTTTTTACACTTACATAATGTTAACTGGCTATCCTGTTTTAAGTGGCTTTGGCCAGAGAACATGAGCACCAAACTTTTTTTTATGCCCAAGCATAAACTCTTTAATATAGTTTAATAATGGAATGGCTGACACAGCCTGAACTGTGGTGTCAGAACAATATAATTAAGAGCTTTATAGTATCCTTCACTTTATTTTATAACACAATAATTTGCTTACCAGAAAGTGAGAGGATTATCCAAAGAGAAATAGAGCAAAACAGTAGGGTAGCACTGTTCTATTGTACCTGATTTGTTTAAAAGTAAATTTAAAACTGTTTTACCATTTTAAACTAACTGTAAATTAAGAGCTCCTTAAATTGCATTTAAAAGCTATTTTGGACATATTTACAGTTTGCTTTTTACCCGATAGTGAGCTGTGGTATAAGATATTCACACCATGCTCTCCTCTATTACCAGCCACATCCAGGACCATCTTTGTTTACCCCTCTATTCTATTTCAATATGAGTTAAGTTACTGTAACTGGAAGCTACTGTTCTTTACATTTAAAAGTGCAAGTTGTTGTAGTTCCTCTATGTGGCTCTGAAATGACTGCAGCTAAAATAATATATTTTCTTCTGGGCAAGTCCCGATTGAAAGGGTATGTATTAACTGGATTGACCTCAGAGAAAGCTAAAGAAATGATCAGGATCTAGAGGGGTTGATTTAAGAAAATACTGTAGTTCGTTTACCTAAACAGTGACTAGCTTTAAGTGGAACATAGTTCACTAATACATAAAGGATTTAAACGACAAGGAGAGGAACATTTTTGTATGAAACAGAGGCCTGTTACTAGAAATAGTAATGGGATTCAATTAAGACTTGAAAAATGTAGGCTGAACATAAGGAAAAAACTTCTTCAGAATGAGACTATGGATTAATCTTCCTAGGAGTGTGGTTGAAGTTTCCTCACATCATACTTTTGAACTGTGTAGGCCAAAAGCACTAGAAAATATGCTATAGGGAATGTTAGAGAAGAAACAGGCAACCTAGGAGTGGATGGAGTAAATGGACCTCTTTATTGCAGATACTTGTTCCACCTTGGGCCCTGTTGCGGCGTATGTACACCACATCTCTGGGGTTGAGGGGACACAAATGTTTGTATGCTGTCTAGTCAGTTGCTGGGTCATTGGCGGGCTCTTTTAGACTGTAAACTACAACCCTTGGTCTGAGGTTGTATAACCTAATGACCAAAGTCCATAAGATTAACCCTCATCTCAGGGCCATACAGCCCAACATCCGAAGTCAATGAAGTTAACCCTTCTCTCAGGGAAGTCCATCTTAACAGCTAGAGTCAAAGATGGGGGAGCCCTTAGCTCCAGGCAGCACAGCCTACCAGCCAGAGTCAATAAAGAGGAATGGCCCTTTGTTGAGGGCAACATGGCTTACTAGCCAGAGTCAGTGGAATGGCCCTTTAATGCAGGGCAATGCAGTCTAATGACCGGAATCAATAACGGGGAAGCCCTTGGCTCAGGGCAAAGTCAATAAAGGTGAATGGCCCTTTAACTCAGGGTAAACACAAACTTGTGGCCAAAGTCAATGTGGAGTAACCCTTTAACTCAGAGCAAGCATAGCTTCTCAACAAAAGTCAAGATGGAGGAGTCCTTTAACTCAGGGCAGAGTTAATAAGTTGGGAGGCCGCCTGCCCCAGTAGGGAAACCTGGGCCCACTCTACTCCACTTGGTCCTGACCCAGGGCTCTGTGAGTGGCAGAGCATTCTGTCACTCGCTCAGTGGGGAGTCTGACTGAAACACGAGCTCACCTAGGTAGGAGATACCACTCCGACACCCTCCCTGGGTCACTTCCTACCAAAGCTTGTGCAGGTCCATCTTGGAGGTCTCTGAATCCTCTGATTCCACTGCAGCTACCTCTTCCTGGAGCTCCTCTGGTGCTGGCAGCTCATGGTGGTCTCCTGGGTCCTGCCGTGTGAGTCTCTGGCTGGTGCAGTTCTGGAGCTCCTGGTGAAGGTCCTTCTTCTTTGGTGGCCAGCCAAGAGTGAGATGTGTTACTGCCTTTTATGCTGTCCCAGCATTTGGAGCATGCCCAGTCTGGGTGAAGGAGCATGACTTCTTCCACCCACAGTGTTTTAACTCCAACCGATTCAGTGTGGGGTATGCACACACCATCACAGACCCCCAACACAACATTCTGGGTGAGCAATAATTTGGCACCAGTTACACTCCTTTATCCATTTTAGCATACTAATTCACATGTCTATCACTACTTTCCCATAGTCCTTATTTAATAATGTTAACTCTATGCAATGAATATTAATAGGCAGGTGATGAATATTGTTATACCTGCTCCTGTTTACAGGATTTTCAGTTAGATTAGCACTTTTTTACATTACAGACTTCCTGAATCTGCAGGTTAGAGATTATAAAGGATGTGATCCTGAAAGTATTTTTGGAGAGAAAGCAAGAAAAAAACAAAGATGACACTGTCCAACTGCATGCTTATCTATCTTTCTAGACTGCAAGAACAAAAGGAAAGAGCATTTTTATACATGAGAGAGGACAATACCTGCTCTGGTCAGACCGTTTCTCTCTCTTTCCAGGCTGCAAGAACAAAGGGGGAAAACATGTTCAAAGGACAATGCCTGCTCTGCCCAGACCCCTACCACTATTGTATGGTCTTCCCCGACCCCTACTAATTCTTACATATCCCAACAGGGAACATGCTATATTAGCGGGGTGGTGGTATGGATGATCTGCCTCTAACATAGGTGACTGATTACATGCTTGCTCTTAGTCTGGGGTGGGCAATAATTTTTGATGGGGCCATGCCAAGATTTTGGAAAGTGGTCGAGGGCCGTACTCTTCCATGATATTGATGGAGGAGAGGCGGGGTCTGGGATGGAGGATGGGTGCAAAAGGGAGCTTGGGGTAAGGTATTGGGGTGACGGAGGATTACTGGAGTCTGGGAGGGAGTTGGGATGAAGCAGGTGATTGTGACTGAGGGCAGGGGACTGGAGTGCAGGGGTATAACCTGCAGGGTATACAAGACTTTTATTTCAAACTATGCCGGGGTATATTAGCTAACTTACAGTGCCCGGGGAGTGGGGGAGGGAATTAGCCAGCTTAAATGCCCTGGTTCCTGCAGGCACTCACCGCCCCAGTTCCTGTGCAGCCTCCAGCCTCCGGGCAGGGGAGCGCTCATCCCCCTGATTCCTGCGCAGCTGCCAGCCTCCGGGCGGGGGAGCGCTCATCCCCCTGCCCCTCCCTGCGGCTGTGCAGGAACTGGGCAGTGAGTGCTCCCCCGCCTGGAGGCTGGGGGGGCCCGCCCCCCCCCCCCTTCCCTTGCCTCTGCCCGCACCCGAGTATGCCCCGTGGCGGGAGGAGGTGTGCGGTTTATAAAAACATATATAACCCACAGGTTATATGCGCTAAAATACGGTAATTTGATATTGACTGTCACACAGGTAGATGCACTGCACACGTTGATTGTTTTAGTAGTTTTTTCTTTAAATATAAGATGCCATTACATTTTCTTCACCTAGTGATGTCCAACAGAATTAACTGTTGATAAAATTTCGCTGTGGTTTAATAAAGAAACGTTAGACTTTTTGGAGTGTTTTCTTACCTTACCTTTAAAGTTTTCCTTTGAAACTTGATAAACGGCTAAATCAATTTAGCTGGTTTTCCAATTGAATAGGCAAAGTTCATACCATGAGTGGGCAATAAAATGGCGATGATTCATCAGGGTTAGTCACTGGTGGAGCACTGCCACTATATTTACTTGAGTTTGTGCAGGTGTTGGACGATTGTAGCTCTCGTTGGCTGTGAATCACCATTTGTGGCCAATGAGAGCGGCAGGAAGTGGCACAGACCATAATGATTCATGGCCAATGAGAGCTTACAATCGGCCGATACCTGTGGAGGTGCAGATAAATATAGCGGTGGGGGGCCCATCAGGGATTAACCCCACAGACCAGATCTGGCCCATGGGCCAGAAGTTACGGACCCCTGGTTTATACTGTAATATCGAATTTGTGTGTTAGATGTGATCCCTATATTCTTGATTTGTAACTGAAAATGGTTTTGAAAGAGAAGAAAAAATGTAAACTAAGGAAACCAATATTGTATGTTGATACCAAAGTGAGTTTGTCACTTAGAAAATTGTTAATGGAATCCTTCATCTTAGGATTCTCAGTTCAAATCTGTTGCTGGTCAGAGGTGAGTGAAATTCATCATCAGGAGGCTGTTTTGTGTATATGGACTTGAATGATAGATACCCACACCACAAATTTCACCTCTACAATTGGCTACCACTTGACCCTATTGTTCACATCATCAGTGCAATGGCCAATGATTGCAAGGGCACAGAAACTAACTTTATGCCATTTATATAATAGAATCATAGAACTGGAAGAGACCTCAGAAGGTCATTAAGTCCAGCCCCCGACTCTAGGTAGGACCAATTCCAACTAAATCACCCTGGCCAGGGCTTTGTCAAGCCGAGACTTAAACACCTCTAGGGATGGAGACTCCACTACTTCCCTAGGTAACCCATTCCAGTGCTTCACCACCCTCCTAGTGAAATAGTTTTTCCTAATATCCAACCTGAACCTCTCCCACCATAACTTGAGACCATTGCTCCTTGTTCTGCCATCTGTCACTACTGAGACCAGCCTCTCTCCATCCTCTTTGGAACCTCCCTTCAGGAAGTTGAAGGCTGCTCTCAAATCCCCCCTCCCTCTTCGCTTCTGCAGACTAAACAGACCCAAGTCCCTCAGCCTCTCCTCATAAGTCATATGCTCCAGCCCCCTAATCATTTTGGTTGCCCTTCGCTGGACCCTCTCCAATGCGTCCACATCCTTTTTGTAGTGGGGGCCCAGAACTGGACACAGTACTCCAGATGCGGCCTCACCAAAGCCGAATAAAGGGGATTGATGACATCTCTGGATCTGCTGGCAATGCTCCTCTTAATGCAACCTAATATGCCATTAGCCTTCTTGGCTACATGGGCACACTGTTGACTCATATCCAGCTTCTCATCCACTTTAACCCCCAGGTCCTTCTTCATCCCATCTTGCGTCACTTGGCGCAGAAGTCCAGGAGCCGACCTTGTCCGTGAATACAGAGGCAAAGAAAGCATTGGGTACTTCAGCTTTCCCCATATCATCTGTCACTAGGTTACCTCCTTCATCCATTAGGGGCCGCACACCCTCTCTGATCACCTTCTTCTTGTTAACATGCCTGTAGAAACCTTTCTTGTTATCCTTCACATCCTTAGCCAGTCGCAATTCCATTTGCGCTTTCGCCTTCCTGATAACCCCCCGGCATTCTTGAGCTATACCTTTAAACGCCTCTCTGGTCATTTGATTCGGTGGCCTGTAGCAAACACCAACCACAACATCAATGCTGTTGTTTGCACCTCTAAACTTAAGCCATAGAATCTCAGCAGGCTTTTCTCCCTCTATATACTGGAGTTCTGAGCAGTCATAGTGCTCTCTTACATATAGTGCAACTCCTCCTCCTTTTCTCCCCTGCCTGTTCTTCCTGAAAAGTTTATACCCTTCTACGACAGCGCTCCAGTCATGCGAGTCATCCCACCAAGTCTCTGTTATCCCAATTAAATCATATTTCTTGGACTGGGCCAGGGCCTCCAGTTCTTCCTGTTTGTTGCCCAGGCTTCTCGCATTGGTGTGCAAACACCTCAGATAACCTCCTTTGTTCCTCTTTTCATTTTTTCCCACTTTCCCACTCACCACAGGGTTTTGGTCACCATCCCCCAACGAACCTAGTTTAAAGCCCTCCTCGCTAGGTTTGCAAGCCTGCCCACGAAGATACTCCTTCCTCTCTGTTAGGTGGATCCCATCTCTTCCTAACAATCCTTGCGCCCGGTACAGAGTCCCATGGTTGAAGAAACCAAAGTCCTCTCTCCAATACCACCTGCGCAACTACGCATTTACTTCCTCAATTCGACGATCCCTGCCCAGTCCTTTCCCTTCAACAGGAAGGATGGACGAGAACACCACTTGCGCTCCAAATTCTTTGATCCTTCTTCCCAATGCTACGTAATCCACAGTAACCCGCTCAAGGTCATTCTTGGCCTTATCGTTAGTTCCCAAGTGGAGAAGCAGGAAGGGGTAGCGAGATCCGAAGGTTTGATCAGCTTGGTAAGCCTCTCACTGACATCCTGAATGCGAGCTCCTGGTCAGCAGCACACCTCTCGAGATTCCAGGTCCGGACAGCAGAGGGATGGCTCAGTCCCTCTTAGGATGGAGTCCCCAACCACCACCACCCGTCATTTCTTTTTGGGCGTGGTGGCCATGGAACCCTCATCCGTAGGATTACGCATCCCATGCCTTCCAGTAGATGGTGTTCCCTTCTGGTTTCTTACTTGTGAGGTCCCTTCCAGAGCTTTCAGCACTGCAGAGCCTGTGGAGAGAGCTTGAAAGCGATTGCTTACCTCTATAGCATCAGGGGATTCCCGTGCTGGCCTTTTTCCCCTTCTAGAAGTTACATGCTGCCAGTATGCTTATTTGTCGTTTGTCGTTTGATATTATCTAAATAATAATCCCCAAACTGTAAGACTTCTTAGCTTTCTTTGTAAATGAGCATCATTAAATGCACTATAAAAGGAGAGACCCCTCTGTTCATTACCATGTTTTAGCGTATATAACCTGCGTATATAACTCCGTTCTCCCCCTCCCCCTCTCCCGTGGGCTATACTCGTCCACGTGTAATACAGCATTTTTTTTAACTGAAAGTACAGGAAGACAAGACTGATTCTTACTTGATAAAAGCACCGTATTTTAATTTAATAATTGAGGCAGTTATGTTAAAATACATTATTTTACTGTGCAACTAGTAAAAGAATAAATATATGGTAAAACTATTTTAAAAAAAGCCATCTTCACATTGTCAGTGTCTGAGTTTTCAAAACCATCAAAACTTTAGTCGTAGTCACTGTCACAAAAAACATCCCTAACATCCATAGCCAAGGCTAGGTGAGCTTCGATGACCGTTGAGACCTGTGGTGCCAAATCAGAATCGCTGTCATAGTCGGATTCAGAGCTAGAAGAGTCAACATTGGGAAGAATGTCACATTTATGGAACCCATTGGGAATATTAGCCAGTTTTATTCTGTCCCAAGCAGCCAAAACCCATCTGCAAACTTCCACGTAAGTTGCACCGCGCTGTCAACCTGCTGGAGTTAATGTGTGTTCCCCATTTGTCATCCAACTGTCCCATTCTTTCGGATGAAGCGCTTGAATGGGTGGCTGACAGCCACATCAAGTGCCTGCAACTTGCTGGTCAGCCCACCTGGTATTATGTGATACGTGCGCCCCACAGTGTTTATATGTTTCTGAACTGAAGTTTCTTTGTGGGTGGCCAAGGAATCTAAAACTAGCAGACATTTAGGATTAAAAAAACCACCTTTTTGTGCACGAAAGGAATAAATGAATGGTAAAACGGTGTGGTTCAAAGGGGTTTTATATACCTGCAATAAGGGTTGTATCATACTTACTGCTCAGCGTCATCTGCTGCGGCTCATTAACACTTCATTACAGGTGCCGTTCATTAACAGTATCCACGGTTCATTTCCCGCAGTCTATACATGCGCGAGGAGTATGTAAGACTATTTTTACTCAATCAGGAAAAACTGCGGGTTATACATGGCTGCGGGTAATACTCGTGCACGGGTTATATACGCTAATTTACGGTACTTATTTTGGGGAAAGCAATTTAAATAGAGTAATAAATAATCACACCTCTTTATAGCTAGTGGCTATCTGGGATTTCGTTCGTGCTCCCTAAGGTCTTAATTCTATGCAAAATGTATGATTTATAGGAATTACTGTTCTTTTGCATGGGAATTACTCACCCAAGCTGTAGTGTATTTACTATTATAATCCATGCATTACTATAGCATCTGCTTTGATTTTTTTCCCTGTAGTAAGCATTCTTAACATCAATCACTGTGACAGTCAACAGCTTGACATCATCACGTTTAAGTATTAATCTTGACAGTGTCTAGACTATATGGTTTAATAATGAAATAACTGTATTTCTTTAAATAAACTTTATTCTTATTAACATTTAATTTATTATTTATATAGATATCTTTTTCAAATATGTGGTCTTCTTTGAGTACACTTGCATGCAAACACAAACTTAATAGTATGACAGACCCAAACCAGCAGGTTACCACACTCTCATGGAAGACAGGTATACAGAGCTATGGATAAATAGCTTTCTCTTCCCTGAATAAACTTATGTATTGTTGTTGTTATAGTAACTCAGTTAGGTCATTAGGGGTCATCCCAGCTAATTTGAGCTGGTTCTAGTTAGTTGTGTTATGGAATAAATGGACACTTACAACTGCTCAAGCTCTCTGTGTTTCCAGTGAATTCTTTCTAAACTCTGTAACTCCAAATGATATAACAAAACTCCTAGAGACTGCTGCCATTAAATGAAGGCAGACACACACCTGGGGCTAGTCAATGACTTGCCTGAAGGAGCAAGCTAATTCAACAGTTGAGGTCAATTAAAGGTAGTAGGGCTGTTTTAAAAGGTCTTTCCCAGGTAAGGAGAAGGGGAAGACAAAGAGTGATGGATTGAAAGGAGGAAGTGCAGTACAGAAGAAGCTATGTGTGGGTGAGCTGGGACTGGCTAGAAGGTCCAAAGGGGAGGCACTTGGAGGGACTCTTTGGAGAAGTGGCCCAGATTGGAAGCATAACAATAGTGTCTGTTGCTGCTGCCTTAGGGTCCCTGGGCCAGAACCCGGAGTAGTGGATGGGCCTAGTTTCCCCATAAACCTCCCCCATGCCAACACAGAGACTGCCCCATGAAGGAAAACCAGGATTATAGAGGGGGTTTTACTCCAAAACCATGAACTAACCTGTGATGAATATGGCTCAGTAAGCTGTGGACCCTGCCTCTTTTAAAGAGAAAGATGCTGTGTGGAGGGCCGCAGTGAGCCTCTGAGGCTAAAACTATCCGCCAGTAGTGCAAGACTGATGGGGCATGACTGGAGTTTTGCCACAGTAGATATATAAGCATTTATATATAATTTTTTTGTAAAATATAAAAATACAGCAAGCAAAAATACATATGCATTTGCCGAAAAAAGTACATTTTACAATAATAGTAATAAATATTAAGCTATGCATTTAATAGGAAAAACAACAGTAGTAAATATTGCAATACACTAATATAATTGTAGTTTTTAATTTAAAAAGGAGGTATTTGGGGGGGATAAATGATCTGTATTAAATGTTAGCTTTTGAATAGCTCCAACAGACCTGTGAAGTTCATACCACCTGATAGGGGCGAGATTAGTTCTATCTTTTCTGCTTCTGTTGTTGGACTGGACTATGTCTTTCTTCCCAATGGAAAAAGATACATGTATTTTGTAAATGAAAGCTACGTTTGAATTCTACTGTAGAATGCACCAACCGTTGCTGAGAAACCACAGAATCTGACTTTTCACACCACTGAGTTCCTGATTTTTATCTGTTTTTAGTAACACTTTTAAATGGTCATTATAGTTTGTTGCAATTATCACATTTTTAATCTTAAATGTCAGTAAAATATTTCTTCAGTGTATTAAATTTCAATCTAAAATTAACTTTTGTTTTCCTTGAATATAGGCTGAGACAATTTTTCAAGAAATGTTTCCTAATGAGGAGTTCTGTCCACCGCCACCAAATCCAGAAGATATTATCTATGATGGAGATGGGACTCAGACAGAAGACCCTGGATTCAGTAATTCATCTAATGTAATAACAAAGCCCTCACCTGAGGAAAACAGTGGTGGTGATGGAGATAGCAACCAATTTTCAGAAGAACAACATGAAGAATAGAAGTATTAAGATTGAACCCAGTATCCCTTATCTCCATGGAAGAGTTTGACTTAGTCTGGTGGAGGTAGAACAAACAGTTGTATTTATTCCTCCTTACTTAGGTTGAGTAAAAAATAAGTAGCCTATTTGATTTCAGGGGAACTGCTTATAATGGAGTAATACTCAGCCTGTCACAGGAAGGTTGTCAGAGCTGGATCCAGAAGCAAAAAATAAAAATTACATTTTAAAATCTGATTTTAATTTCTTTGAGAAGAGTTGTTATTTTAGTAATGATTCTGCCACCTTGATACTTGATACTTCAAGCGTCAATAACAACAAAATTTGTGAACTAGTTTAATATAATGGACAAAAGGACAAACCATACACTGTTGTAAATTGTGACAGCTGTATTGACTTCAGTTTACACCAGCTAAGGATCTACCCCCACATCTTTGCGTCCTATAAATTGATTACAAAAAAGGGAACTTTAGGCAGTATTGAGAGTTTGAGGGTGTTCAAACAAATACACTTTTATTTGTTGATATAAGTCCTGCATTTGAAGGCTGGTTTTCAAATAATTAATATCACAGTTACTTTGCTAATGAAAAATATCCTATGGTTGTTTTTTTAAATTGGTAAGTTTATTAATATGCAGGAATAAGCTTATTATAATATGCAGAAATAAACTGTATATAATAAATATATTGATCTCAATTGAAACTGTATTACTACTTGAAACATTCTGTCATTCTTGTTTTGATTGGAGTCAAGACTTTATCCCTGTTTGCCGGTTATATTTATAGTCTACTACTTTTTTTTACTTAAGAACCTCCAGTAATGCAGCATATTTTGAGTCCCTGCAAATGTTTTGCTTAGACAAGATTATGGCCCCAAACTTTCGCATACATAAAGCTTTCCAGGACTTGGATCTGAAAAAAAATTCAATAGTTAATTAAAATTTTTAAAAATGGCATTAGGAAAAAAGTTGGGCTTGTTATATTTACAATTGTTTTCATCCCAGATAATGATCTAAAAGCTGTGTGATAGTAAATTATGCATTTTGTAATGATGAATCATAAATAATATTTTATATAAGAGAATTGTTAAATGTATTTATAAACTTACTTTGTGTACAGAATTATGAAACCAGAAAAATCTTGAAAAGGTTAATGATACTAAATAGACTCTCACCTCTCTGCTAAATGTTTTGAAATTATATGCTCTAGAAAAAGAAAGAAGTATATATGTGCTTTAAATGACAAAAAAATGAAATTTGAGTGTTGGAAGCTTTACCATAAAATCTTAAGATTTACCCAAATCAAATATTTATAGTATAAATTACCAATATATAAAAATATGCACAATGAACAAATTTGGATGATTGTGAGAGTTTAACTGCTACATAAGCTTAGATCTGAGTATACCGTTATACAAGCACATTAGTACTTTTTAAATCCTGTACATCAATTCATGTACATCAATTCAAATTACGGAGACCCTTGCCATTCACAGTGGATGTGTCCCTGACACCATTGCGAATGTCACAGCTCTTAGTATTAGTGAATTTCACAACTCGGCCCCCACAGTGAGTTCCCCGTGGCTCCCAAACTCACCATGGGGGCTGGGAGCCACAGGGAACTCACAGTGGGGAACTCCCCCACAGATGCTGGGAGCCGTGGTAAGATGGAAGTCACAGGGAGTTCACTGTGGCTCCTGACAGCTGTGGAGAACTTACTGTGGGGAATTCACTGCTGCTGCCAGGAACCAAAGTGAATTTCCTGTGGCTCCTGACCTCCATGGTGAGCTCCCCGAGGCTCCCAGCCCCAGCCAGGAGATCCCTGCAAATACAAGGAATTGCGAATATTGATTCTTCAGATCGCAAGGTTCTCCTGTAATTCCAATAAATAATCGATACCTGATATTGACTGAAATTATTGACCCAGCTAGGATTTTCTACAGTATTTCAGTAAATATGCCTACCTTGCAGATGGCTTTGTGCCATAGAAGTCAATTTATTTTTGTACAACATAGCTAACACAATATAGAACATTATTTTGTCTTGCATCATACAGTATCCAAATTCCATTTTAAACATGTTAGTGTTTACATTGTCACTTCTGTTTTTATTGGATCAGCATCATGCTATGTAATTATAAAGTCCTCAGAAAAAAAAAGTACATGCAATTCATTTCGATTGCTAAATAATACTGATCCTTGGTATGCTTGCAATTAAGCATCTAATTAAAGATGGTAACAAATAGGCTGCTTGCTTGCCCATTCTCAGCTACCATTCGTATGTGCATATCAAAAAGCATGAATGTAGGTTAATTATGCTTAATGTCTATAAATCTGTAAAGGAACTAAGACAACAAGGACCTGGTTTCTCTTTGCCTTTCAATGATAGGAATCATGTTTAATTTTACATTTTTTATGTTTACAAGGAAATTATATTTGTTGTATGAAAATTGAAGGTTTGCTTGCATGTATGTTTCTTTCTGTATTTTCCTTCAGTTCAAGAGAAGCAGTTTATTGCAAGCGTCTAAAGTTTTGTTGTATTGTTTGTTAAAGTTGGTTTATTGTCACATTGCTATCTGTGATGTGATTAAAATTCACATGAATCCTAAGAAATTTACTCAATACAGATATTTTATGCATTCATGTCAATGTAAAGTAAAAGGTTTGTAATGCTACACATTTGATTTTTAGATAAAACAAAGGCTGTACAACTTACAAGTCATAAGCTGTGACTTTACCTTATATTGATTGCCTAAAATACCTTTTCATGTCTTCTTCAAATAGTGAATGAAAACTTAAATGGTTTCTCCAATGGTAATTGAGTACCCAACAGCTCATTTGCAACAGGAATAAACAAGTCTGTTGATGATCTTTTATTATATGGAAATCATGTATTGAACTGTGGTTTAGTCTCAAATTAAATGATTTAAGCATACAAAGTGAGGGTTAGGCTTATTTGAAGTAGTTTTTAAGGCTTGTCAGACAGGATGTATTAAAAAGATAACATGACTTTTTAAGAACCAGGAATTTATTGTGGTTAAAGATAAGGTTAATTTAATTTTTAAACAAGTAGTTGTATTGTCCTTCAAGCACCTTGGAGCTCATACAATTTTCACACCTTTATTTTAACAAGTGCTTTGATATGTTTGAGTTCCTTTTTAAGTTTGGTTAATTGGATTAATCCTTAATATTCAAATCATCAGTCTAGTACCACTTTTTCTTTCTGATGTTATATTGTCTGCTCTCTGACAGCAATCAGTTACCCTTTCCTAGGAAGTATTTTCTGCCAAGAAGCTGCTGCATCTGCTTTTCATGCAGATGATGATGCTTTGGGTCATTTGACAGGTAATCATTAGAACTTGGATCTTTGCAGACTCTGGATTCTTTCCTCCTATCATGGCAAGGGTATTTATATGGGAAACTCCCATTAATTCTAATGGGCTTGCATATGTAAATTTTTTTGTATCAATGGGAAAACTGACCCCTAAAAGAAATCCCGTTTGTATGAGACTTGCTGATGCAGAAATGTGCAAGCATTACCACTTTCTGGAGGGAGTCCTGAAGAGTGAGGACTTCCTCTCAGAGGAATGCCATGAGGAATGCCAACAGATGTTTGAATGCCCTCCAGTTATTGGCACATTTTGCCCCCATGTAAAGGAAGTAGTTGTAGAAGAAGGTAATACTAACTCCTGTGTTTAGAGTGTCTAACATTTACTTATTTTATATATAAATCTTTCCTTTCAGAAACTCACCTCCCTAGCCTACAAATATGCTCCTTTCATTCAATGGGGAATAACCTCAAAATATGAAGTGCCATTTTACTATGAAGTTTTGTTCAGCTTTTCCTGAGATATAAGCTATTAGCAATGACTATTTCTCTGGTTTGTGTTTCTCAGGAACATATTGTCGTCATTCTAAAATAACTTGATTACCTTCGTTCAACTGCTGAGTTCACAACCGCCACTTCTGCAGCAGCAGCCATTGTAGGGGTAATGTTTAGGATCCATCAAAGCACCGCTAGCATGGGAAGCGAAAGTGAGCCAGTCTGGGTTCTCCTCCTCCAAGCTACCATCTGGCCTTTGTGACCTACACGTTCCATGGGTGTAGCACATGAATAGAAATTAGGTTTGATTGATCTTCTGCAAATGCCTACCTGACCCAGCAGTTGCTCTCTCCCCATATCAGGGGACTGCTCTACCACAACTCCCAGGTTAGGGATGGAAAGGAGAAAGCTGAGATGTGTAGAAACTATCGCTGGATCCAGCAGTCTATCTCCACTTGGGATAATAGCCCTCCGCTGCTGCCAGCTAACACAGTTAATTATGTATCTCAAGTAGTACCAGTCTACGCTATGGTGCTAGAGGCTCATGGTTTAAACTCTGCTGATGATGTATGAATGGAGTGAGCTGTTAGTTTTACATTACTTGTTTTCACCTTTTTTCCATTTAAAAATATAAATATAAATAATGTTAAAATACATTAAAAATAATATTCAGGTTGCATCATCAAGCACTCAGAAGTCAAAAAATGCTAATTTGATGTATCCACAACAACCTTAACGGTGCTCCCCTTATGTGCAAGCATTGTAATGCAGGTTGAACCTCTCTAGTCTGGTACCCTCGGGACCTGACCAATGCCGAACCAAAGAATTTGCTAACCATAGGAGGTCAATATTGCTTAGCAGCGTTACGAACACTTCCACTGCTTACTGGGCTATTAGAAGACATTTAGGGGTGAACTAAAGGTAAATAACAGCACAGAACATGGAGAACCAGGGCTGGTGACTGTAAACAAACATCATGGGACCACAGGAATCTTGGCTACATCCATGATAAGTGGACAGCCAGCTAATTAAAATCATTAGAGAGGTTCAACCTGTAGTATTTAATTGCATGAACACATGCCATTTGAATAGATACAAAAGTGGGCAGAACAATATTGCACAGGGCAATTTAGTTACTTTCAGGCACTTGACTTTGCAACCTAAATAATATTCTTTTAACAGCTGTTTTCATATAATTTGAGAGTGACCAATATCAAACTGACCAATGTTCATTCCAAGATGTGCAGAAGGTCTGAAATTCATAGTATGCACATTAGTAATATTGAAGTAGACTTTTCTATAGAAGGAAAGATGCATAAATTCAAAATGTTGAATGTTAGCAAGAAGTGTTAACGAGGCCAGTCTGATACTTCATTGGGCTCCCTAAGCCTCTAGCCTCTGCTTTCTTATTCTGACACAACCTAAATATAGCTGATGCCAGTTTTAAACAGGTTGTTCAGAAAAATTACTTGAGGATGTGAAAGATTTCAGATTCTCAGATTTCCAGAAAAGGGTATAGCGATCATTTAATTTGGCCTCCTGAGTATGGACTTACCAATCTATACCTTTTGCATAACTATTTCAGTACTAAAAGGAGACAGACTATAAGTGGAGTGGGTAATGATGCAAATGATGCTTCTCTGTATCAATGTTCCCTCTAATCTTTTCCACCCATGCGTGGAATAAATTATTTGCCCCGCGTCAAGTGCAAATGGACACCATCAATCGAAACACAAAACATAGCTGTGGGCATCCTGCTAATCAGCTGGGCAGCATTTGAACTTTTCCCGAGTAGCCACACAAGCACACGGCTTTCAGGGAACACTGTTCTCTGTCCTTTTTAAAACACCTGCTTACTCTTAATAACCATAAGGTTTCCCATTTCCTTTGCAGTTTTAAGATGACTTGTTATACGCTCAACAAACAGTGAGGATGAGAGCTCCGACAACATGAGTCAAAATCACCCAGTAAATATGGGAGAGTGAGCAACAGTAGTTGTCAAAGACGTGCACATGCCGATAGTCAGAGGGAGTACAAAAATCACAAAACTGACCAAAACATTCACAATTTCGGGGGCGGGAGGAAGTCCGATGTTTTAATTTTAAGTTTGGTCGATGCAGTCAGGGCACTTGAGGAGCATTTTTCTGGAAAGTTTTGTTCTTGGAAGGATTTACCAGTGTGTGTGGGAACTACTGAAAAACGAGTTAATGCACAGAGTTTTTCTATGTAGATAACCAAGGGCTGTTCTTGAAAGTGTCTGAAAGTATGTAAGACTTCAGTTTTTGTAGGTATGCACAATTTACAGGCCCCTTTGTTAATACCTAATTAAAGAAATTCTCTTACTAATCAGGGCTGGATACCGCCATGTGTTATGTGTAAAAAGGAACAAGCTTATCCGTGTTCTCTTATTCCGATGCAAGTTTGAGATGATTGGAGGACTGCACCTTTCTAATGTCAGCAGGTAGAATATTCTGACCCTGCTGTGACCCAATAGCAATTTGCTCATGAGATGAATGAACTCCCTGTAGGGTGCTGCTACAAGCAGTCCTTTCAGTTCAGCTATTTGCATGATTTTTCTTCTTAGCCCTGGGCTGGCCACAGGATTTTAAATACATTTATATTAGTAATTCTCTTGCAAACTATCTTCTGGCAGTGTGCTGGGATGTTTATTCTGGGATTTGCCAGGTGAGGCTCCTGTTTCCTAACTTGCTCTATGGTTCTTTTCCTTGCTTTTTGTGCCTAGTTACCATTCTCTTCTCTACAATGAACTCAGTTTCTCTGAGGGTTATCCAGGCTATTGCAAGTCTCAGGAGAATACTGCATGCAGATGTGGTTGCCTCATCTAAAAAAAGTTAGACTTGGCATTGGAAAAAGTTCAGAAAAGGTAAACAAGATAAAGGGGTTGGAATGGCTGCCATATGAGGAGAGATTAATAAAACATACTTTTCAGCTTGGAAAAGAGACAAATAAGGGTGGATATGGCAGAAGTCTATAAAATCATGACTGGTGTGGAGAAAGTAAAGAAGGAAAAGTTATTTATTTGTTCCCATAACACAAGAACTAGGGGTCACCAAATGAAATTAATAGGCAGTAGGTTTAAAGCAAACAAAAGGAAGTATTTCTTCACGCAACTGTGGAACTCCTTGCTGGAGGATGTTGTGAAGACCAGAAATTGAACAGGGTTCAAAAAAGATCTAGATAAGTTCATGGAAGATAGGTCCATCAATTACTATTAGCTGGGATGGGTAGGAATGGTGTGCCTAGCTTCTGTTTGTTAGAAGCTGGGAATGGGCTACAGGGGATGGATCACTTGGTGATTATCTGTTCTTTGCATTTCTTCGGAAGACAGGATACTAGACTAGATGGACCTTGGTCTGACCTACTATGGCCATTCTTATGGTAAGGTCATATTTCGAAGTATTTTGCTGCAGCTCAGCGTTTACTCAGATTCAGCTTTCATCAAAATGTGTTCTGGTTTTAGTTGTAGTTGTTTGTCTTCCATTACTTGGGTCCTCAAGAAAGTTTATTAAATAATTTAAAGGAAAAAAATCACATTCTGTAAAATAAAATAGTGAGGTCTATGGGCAAGGAGTTCTCATAATAAAACTAAAATATATTTTTTGGGGGGGGAACAGTTTCCATTCTCATTCAAAGAGGTGGCAGTAAGCATTTTTACTGAAAAGTGGGAACATCTGTGACGGAAGTGTAGGAGATCAACATTACAGATTGGTTAATATTTTCTAATTTATTGTAGTGGCAATTTAATAATCAGGAAAAATGTGATAAAGAAATCAAATGCTCAGTTATTTATGAGAAGACTTCAAAGCTAACTTTTTTATTGCAAACAAATTTTAGGCCCCTCCAATTGTCTTATGAGAAGAGGAAAATTGCCAACCATATGGAATTCATGAATCCAGCCTCGGATCTAGTAATAAAATTGCATTTGGTGGAAATAGATCTTGTTAGCAATTCCACCATTATCTTTATTTACAGACTGCCAGTCCCTGTTTATAAGAAGGACAGTTTCTTCAAAATCTGGATGTGGAGCCTGCA